AATGGTCAGAACTGAGGCAACCTAATGTCTGGAGCCAGGAGCCTCCTTGGGTCTCCCACATAGGTAGAGTCCTATGGCTTTGGGTCATCCTCCACTGTTTTCCCAGGTCATAAGGTGGATCAAGAGTATAACAGCCAGGACACAAAACACCCATATGGCGTCCTGGCACTTGAATGTTCAAGATGGGCCAGTGCAGCTGCTCCACTTCTGATCCAGCTCATTGCTCATAGCCCAGGACGGCAGAGGTGGACATCCTAAGTCCCAAGCCTCTGCATTCACACTGGAGACCAAGAAAATCCTGGCTATGGCTCGGCTCGGCTAAACTCCAGGGACTGTGGATATCTGGAGAGTGAACCAGTACATGGATAAGCTCCCCTCCCCACCATCACCACTGCACCTCTGGAAAAATCTGCCTTTCAAACAAAAATAAACAAATGACTACTAAACACAAAAAGCACACAGGCTCACCATCACTCATCAGGGAAAAGGTAAAAACATTAGATAGACCCTTTCATACCCACTAGACTGTTTAAAACTAAAAAGAGCAAAAATAGCTAAATAGACAAGGGTGTGAACCAATGAACTGTGGAGGGAACTGCTGATTATAAACAAACATAGCCAGTGTCAAATATGTGTTTATCATACTAACAAACTCTTACTATTTGCCCAAAGAAATGAAGACACATTCATAAATATTTACTGTACAGCAGTTCCCCCTTACCCACAGACACCTGAAACCAGATAGCACCAAACACATATATAGTGTTTTCTCCCATATATAATTCCTATGATAAACTTCACTTGTTACATAAAACAGTGAGGTTACTAACAAAAACTAACAACATCCTATAGTTGGAGCAGGCACTGAGCCTCATAGTGAAGGCACCTGTGTGCTGGGACAAAACCCAGTAGTGCTGAACTAAGTCCCTTCTCACACAGACCCTAGCAGGGTGTCTGCCACCGACATGGTGCTGTGGATGAGTTCTCAGCTCCTGACCCTAGTCAGGGATTCACTGCAGGCATTCAGTGAACTCGTGGACCAAAAGGAGCTCAACTAAGCACAAATTTTAAAAAGTTATGTGACCGCAATCTCTCAAAATCTTAGAATATTGTATTCATATTACTTAAATCATCACTTGTGATGTAACATACTGTAATGCCTACATGATGCAGATGAAGTCAGGTCAGTGACGGAGGCCTTGTGATGCGCCAGTGAGCTCACAGTCAGGTTTCCTCAGACACCGTGACATTCCAACAGCCCAAATCCACAACTGAAAGGCAACTAAGTGACCGACAGGTGTCCTAATGCAGCAGGTACACAGGCACATTTCACAACATGACCCAGAACAGCATGCCATTTAATCCTGGAATCCTTCATTTAATATTTTTCAGACAGTGGTTTACAAGAATAACAAACTGCTAAAAGAGAAACGCAAAATAAGGGAGGATTACTGTACTAACTTCCATCAACAGGAGAGTGACACAATTCATACAGAACTTTTTTTTTTTTAAAGATTTACTTTATTTTTATTGGAAAGGCAGATATACAGAGAGGAGAGACAGAGAGGAAGATCTTCCATCCGATGATTCACTCCCTAAGTGAGCGCAACGGGCCGATGCTATGCTGATCCGAAGCCAGGAGCCTCTTCCGGGTCTCCCACATGGATGCAGGGTCCCAAAACCTTGGGCCGTCCTTGACTGCTTTCCCAGGCCACAGGCAGGGAGCTGGAAGGGAAGTGGGGTTGCCGGGATCAGAACCGGCGTCCATATGGGATCCCGGGCATGCAAGGCGAGGACCTTAACCACTGTGCCACCGCACCGGGCCCTCATACAGAACTTGTACAAATAAAGACCAATCTCAAATGCTATTAATTCTTTGCCATTAAATCTTATGATTTCCATCTTTCTGCTCTTTTGGCCAGGGATCGGTTAGGATGAAGCCAGGAGCCCACAACTCCATCTGGGTTTCCTACACGGCAGGCAGAGGTCCAACTACTCCACTGCTCTCCCAGGCACAGGAGGGAGCTGGGCTGGACACAGAACAGCTGGGACTTCCACTGATACAGGATGCCAAAGCAGCAGGCAGCGACTTACCCCACTGTACCACAACCCCATCCCACATTTCTTTATGAAACAAAATCCTATGCTGACTTATCTAAGCCAAGTTGTATTAGGAAGGATATATTTTCTGTAAATTTCATTTAAGATCATCAATGGGCACACTCACAATACTTGTACAGCAAACAGAAAACTTTCTTGTAGTTTTGAGAAGTACTGTTCCAAATCTTGAGACTAATTTTCTGAAGAATCTTCTTGTGACAAATTGTATTTTGAAATATAATACGGCTTGTCCTAAAGCAATCCTAGGGCTTCGTATATATACTAGACAAGAAGCAGACCGTCTTGAGGGAGGGAGGTAGGAACCTAAAATTTAACAATTTTTACTAATGTCTAAAACACCACTGTCTAAATTACAGCAAAACAGAATAAAGGCGAATTCAACCTCAACAAATCCATTTTGCATGGCTTATAATATGAACTCACATATATTCATGTGTAAATACAGAAGAACATACAAAGCAATGTTACTTGCCAGTATCTAATACTAGAGATTTTACACCAAAATCCAGAGTTCAGACTTCTCAAAAAGTCAAACACTTTAACACCTGCTCTGAACTCTCACCTGACAATCCACAGGACTATCAAGAATTAAGGAGAGGGCCCACCTGGGTAGCCAAGTGGGCTTGCATGTGCCAGGATTCCATATGGCCATCGGTCCAAGTCCTTGTGGCCTTGCTTCCCTTCCAGCTCCCTGCTTGTAATGTGGCAAAGCAGGGACCCTGCATCTGTGTGGGAGACCCAGAAGAGGCTCCTGGCTCTGGATCAGCCCAGCTCCAGCTCTTCAGCTCAGCTCCTGCTGTTGCAGCCACTTGGGGAGTGAATCATCGGATGGAAGCTCTTTCCCTCTCTTTCCGCTCCTCCTCTGACTTCCCAATAAAAATAAATAAATCTTTAAAAAGTCCACTTTCAGAATCTATGGAGTTAACAAACCTCACACAAAATATTCAGAAAAAATTAGAATGACAAAAATAAGTACATGTGCAGTATAACAGTATATTGTGATTATTTGCATAGCATATACATAATATCAATGTATTTTGTCATATCAACATAACAAAGTATTATAAACAATCTGGCAAAGGTTGCAATGAGAACGAATATGGTCTATGCAAATTGTACATCACTTTATATAAGAGATAACCAAGAATTTGTATCTAAACAGATGCAGGAATCAATTCTTCTGCAGCTCCAAAAGGATAATGATCAAAGAAACCTTAGCATTTAAGAATTTCTAACTCAGATTTAACTTTCACCTGCATTCATTCTCCAACAGGTGGGCCACTTACTAGTAAACCCCTGTGAAGAATTGTAGTGTAGTTGCAAGCTAACAAAATAGCTTCCTGGTTTCCCCATGGTAACACAAGACTAAGAAAGACTCCAGGGTCAGAGACAAAGGGCAGTTTATTACCTCCTCGCAGCAACAGCATCAGCTAAGGAAGGCATCTACATTTTTTGCAGTCATTCCCAGAGTTCCAGTTCCCACAACGCATCTCTTGAAAACCCCTGCCGGACACCTACACGGGCAGCGGACTGTGTTGCAGGAGAGGACCCTGCGCCCAGGGAAACCCTAATCTCCTGTGATGGGCAATAATCATGGTTCCTGTTTGGCTCCAGAGGAAGACATTATCCACTGGACAGCAGGCATGCCTGCCCTTGGCTCTGGTGGAAGACACTATCTCTTTTTTCCAAGGCTGTTCCCTATACAACATCCTTGAAAAAAAAAAAAAAAACAGAAACAAAGAGCAATCAGTACTTGCTCGCAGCACAGCAGAGACCCGTAGAAAAGTGTCCCCGACAAGCAAACACTGTTCCGAACACAAGGCGAGACAAATCTGAGACCACAATCTCTTTAAAGCATTAATTTCACACCCCCACCTGGTACAATTACCTAATTAGCGCTAATATCTCTAATTAAATCATCTGTTCCCGCTAAAAAGGTGTAAATCAAATGCTACTTTTTCAGTTACTTTGTATTTTTCAAAAGGAGCGGCTCAAATATTTGCAACACTAAAATGTAAAAGCCTCCAGTCGTCTACTAAAATGACCATAATTACTCTCACACACTTCGAATGGTTCTGACCTGTTAGCCACAGCAATGGGAACTACCTGTCAAAAAGTCACCTAACGCAGTAAAAACATCACAAAGAGAACAGTAACTAACTTACAGCAGCGGTCTACAAAACCTAAGAAAACCCTGGGCTCAACATTCACTTGCTTCCAGTCCTCTTGAGTATTTACCATCTCAAAATACAACCTTCCAAAGAGACAACAGAACACCGTCCCAGGATTCTTTTGTCCCCAGCAAAAATGGGGAGAGGAATATTGGGAACTCACTAAGCTAAAGAACGCTTCCCCCCACCACCACCAAAAAAAACCCAGGATAGGAAACAGCTGGCATGCAACCTGCAATCAACCTTCAAACAAAGTCCCCATCACTTTCTCTCCATCCTTCCCCTCCCTCCCCCACCTCCTGCTCAAATAACGGGAGGGAACCCGAGCTGATCAGGATCACAGCGACCCGCACAAAGCTGTGCAGAAGCAGCGGTTAGCAGTCAGCAAGCAACACGGGGACGCGCTCCCCGGGGCACTCGGACCGAGCTTGCACAACGGGGCGGATCGCACCGGCCCCCCGACCCCCCGGCCCGCCGAGGAGCGGCAGCTGCGCGGCCAAGTGCACGGCGCCCGGGGAAGTTGCAGGGCGGGCGCCGCACACCCGCCCAGGCCAGAACCCTCCCGGTCCCCGCCGCCGCCGCCGCCGCCCCCTCCGCCGGGCCCTCCCCGCCGCGCAGCCCGGGCGGCCGACACGGGACAGCGGGTCGCCAGGCCGCCCGCCTCCCCGCGGCCCCCTGCCCGCCTCCTCCCCGCGCCCCCGCTCTCACCTTGGGTGGCGAAGGGCAGGGAGCCGCCCGCGGGCGGAGGGGTCTCGGCCGAGCCCAGCATGGGTGCGGGCAGCATGAGGTAGCGCTGCGGCGCGGGCAGGCAGCGCTGGCAGAACGAGTGCAGGCAGGGCAGCAGCTTGGGCGCCCGGCTCTGGATGTTCTGGTGGCACACGGCGCAAGTGTCCAACAGGTTGAGCCGGGCCGCCTCGCAGCCCCGCTCCGAGTCCGGGCCCTGCCGACTCTCGGCCTCGTTCTCTCCGCCCGCCGCCGTCGCCGAGGGCCCCCCGGCGGCAGCTGCCGGAGCGGCCGCCGTCGCCGCCGCCGCCTTCTCCACAGCCACCTCCATTGTCCTGCCCGCCGCGGCCGCCGGCGAAGGGGGAGTCTCCGCCCGCCGACCCCGGCCACCTCCTCCTCCTCCTCAGCCGCCTCCTCGGAGGCCGGAGAACCAGCGAGCCGGGCAGGCAGCGCCGCCCGAGGAAGCTTTCTCGGGCCTCCGGGGAGCCGCCTCCCCGGTGGCGAGGCCGGAAGCTGGGGGATCTGTCAGCGGGGCCCCGCTCCTCACGCCGGGGAGGCAGCACCCCGGCCGCTTCGCCAACCGCCGAAGCGCTCGTCGAACCCGCCCAGCCCGCCCTCGCCTCCTCCCCGCCTCCCCGCCTTTCTCTCGGGCCTCCAGGCCCCGCCTACACCGCCCTCCCCCAGCAACTGAAGCGCTGACGAGCAGCTCAACCGCCCTATCACCGCCGCGCCTCTCCAGGGGGCGGGCCCTGCCAAAGCCCGTGAGGCTCGGGCGGCGCCAGCGGGAGGCGGCGAGGTGGGTGGGGCCTGCGCAGCCCCGCCCCCCGAACGCCAAGGAGACTCGCGGCCTCTGATTGGTCCTTCGTGTGTGTTGCTCCTCTGTGAAGATTAGGCTAGGTTCGTTAACGAACACACGCCTAATTCGGTGCACTTGGTGTTAGCTCCTCCCTTGAGGCAGAGCTCCACGTTGTCTCTCGTTGAGGGAACTCAGAATTCCAGCTATCAGTGTAGCCTGATCTGAAGTTGCCTACGTGACTCCCATCTTAGCCTAATGTTGCCTAGGTGACTCTGCCTTATCCCAATGTTGCCTAGGTGACTCCCGCCTTATCCCAATGTTGCCTAGGTGACTCCCGCCTTAGCCTAATCTGAAGTTGCACAAGTTTTGTTTCTGCAAAAAATGTTTTTGGGAAATGCGGCAAGGGCCCCTCCTGTGCCTCATAGAGATAAGACTCCACAGCCTGCCACTTTGCTGAGCCCGCCAATTTATGCTATTTGAAACGTTTTTTCTTCAATAGAAACTTGCCAACATGCGCTTTTTGAATTGGTCAGCCAAACCTGAGTGTAACTTTATGCAGTTTTAAAAGTGGACCTATCATGAGTGTAATTGTGTTACCCAACCACGAGTGTAACTGTGCAATCTCCTATATTGTGCTAAAAACCCCGCGCCAACCTGTCTGGGGGCTCAACCTGGAGCCACTGTGATGGTAACGGTTGGAGCCCCCGAGCATGAGTAAAGCGCCCTGTGCGCTTGCTGCGAAGTCAGACTCATGGTGATTAACTTGAGGGACTCCAGACCTGAGCCTAACAGCAGCTGTCACTGTCACAACAGATCTGGGCATAACACAATCTCGTTAATCAAGAAAACTCGAGTTGTACTACTGACAAGAGACCTGTGAGAGATCAACACGGTCAAGGGAGGTTGAAATGGAAGTAGTGTAGCACACACAGAAAGAGGAAAAAGTATCACCTGAAAGAGATCACATGAAAGAGATCACGTGGAGGGCCCAGCTGGATAATGTAGCAGCTAAAGTCCTCACCTGGAACGCGCCCCAGGATCCCATAGGGGTGTCGGTTCTAATCCCGGGAGCTCCACTTCCCAAGCAGCTCCCTGCCTGTGGCCTGGGAAAGCAGTTGAGGACGGCCCAAAGCTTTGGGATCCTGCACCCGCGTGGGAGACCTGGAAGAAGCTCCTGGCTCCTGGCTCCTGGCTCCTGGCTCCGAGTTGGCGCAGCACCAGTCCTTGCAGTCACTTGGGGAGTGAATCAGGCAGAAGAACTTCCTCTCTGTGTTTCCTCCTCTCTGTATATCTGGCTTTGCAATTAAAAATAAATAAATGTTAAAACAACAACAATAGCAACAACAAAGAGGAACACAGGGAAATTTTACATCATTGTTGTATTCCCCACATGGCCTCAAGAGAAGCCAGGAGCCTAAGGATTCCTCCAGGAGTCCTCCATGGGGGCAAAGGGCCCCAGCACTTGAACAATCTTCAGCTGTTTTTCCAGGAACACTAGCAACTGTCGGGTTGGAAGTGAAGCAGTCAGGTGTCTGGCGCCCAAATGAGATGCAGCTGCTGGAGGCAGTGTACACCAGTGAGCCACAATCCCAGCACGGCAGCATCGAGTTTTTCAAACCTGAGTTTACTCAACTCTGTAATAAGTGAATGCATGTGAACAGGATAGGGGAAAGTCCTCTTGCAAACCAGAATGTTTGAAGAATTTCCCCAACCAAAAAAAAAAAAAAAAAAAAGTGAAATTAATTTTGAGTGGTTTGCCTTTTAAATGAGTGAAAACAGGTGTGTCTTTCAAGCAATTGCTACATATAAAGATTTGCAAATATCTGCATTGGACAGATACAGCTTCGTAAAAGAAAATTTTAAACTCTGGTTCTGATGTCCAAATAATTCATGAGTTCAAAATTTTCCTCTCTTCCCTCAAAACATCTACGTGGACTCATAACGGAAATTACATACTTGTTGTCAAACCCCAACCTGAAGGGGCTTGAAGAATGGAATCAGAGCAGAGAAATCAAACTGTTGGTATACAAGTGATGTTTGCGGTGCTGAATCTTGGCAGGGAGCGTGGTGGGTGACCAGAGGCTTTGCTCCATTGGATGTGACAAGGTCTTGGAAGTACCAACAGGACAGCCACCAGGAGGGAAACAGCATCCTAGCCTCTCTGTAAAACTCCCCAGTGTTGCGGCTTAGTAGGTTAAGTCTCTGCCATCACCAGTTTGTCTCCCGGCTGTTCTGCCTTTTTCATCTCTGTAGGCCCTGGTCTCCCAAGGGTTAACTCCACAGCTTAGTTTGTTTCTCCAGGTGTAACAGGATACACAATCCTGGCCTGATGCATTCAGCCCCAGCAGGTTGCCTCCTCCCTGCTTCCCTCCCCCCCCCTTTTTACATACCCTCGGGGGAGCTTAGGTGTTGCTTAAGCTTTGGGAAATGCCTGGAGGGGCCAAGCAGACTATAAAAGATGCAGCTTGACTTCAAATAAATCGGCATTCTGTTCACAAGAATGACCCACTGTGTGCTGTCTGTGTGTTGTGTGTTTTGTCTGTCTCATAACACTAGTCCCTCCGCTCGGCTCGGGGTACACGGCGACGCTGGCATTGCCCACACATCTCCCTGCTAACGGCCTGGGAAATGCAAGGGAAGATGGTTCAAGTGCTTGGACCCACCACTCAAGAGGGAGATATGGATGAAGCTCCTGGCTCCTGGACCAGCCCTTGTAGCCATCTGGGAGGGAAAACAGCAGATGAAAGATCTCTCTCTCCTTTCTCTTCCTCTTTGGCAGTCAAACAAGTAAGATAAATAAACAAAAGGAAACAAACAAAACACTTCCCAGCATCTTTCTCAACCAAGTCTTTAATTCTGTTCTCTAGGACTCAAGTATGAAATTGCACTATTTAACAATGATCAACACCTGGTCAGCTCTCCACAGCTCTGGGTTCCTCAGGCATGAATTTGTCATTATTCCCTAAACAATACAGAAGAGCAGTTATTCATCTCAGATAGAAGGCATCTAGCAGTGATTTAAGGACCACAGGGGGACATGCATAAGCTATTTGCAAGTGTGGCGTCATTCTATGTAAGGGATCCAAGCCTTTGCAGACTGTGTGATTATGACATCTGTAACCAATCACCCAAGGACGAGGAAAGCACTGGAGTGGTTTTTTTTTTTTTTTTTTTAAGATTTATTTGATGTATTTTGCAAGGCAAACTTACAGAAAAAGAGAAACAAAGATCTCCCATCAGCTGGCCAACCTCAAATGTCTGGAATGATCAGGGCTGGGCCAGACTGAAGCAAGGAGTCAGGAATTCCATCTGAGCTTCCCACAGGGGTGGCAGGTCTCTTGTGTTTGAGCCACCCTTTGATGCTCTCCGATGCGTATTAGCAAGCAGCTGGCTAAGAAGCAGAGCAGCCTGGACTTGAACCAGTGCTCTGATAGGGGATGGTAATGTAGCACATAGTGGCTTAAACCACTGTGCCACAAGGCAGATACCAGCAGTAGTTTGTTGCCAGCTGCATCCGTATGCACTGGCCACATGCCGTACCCAAAATGGCGCCGGCCGGAGAAGCCACACCTTGGTGCCTGGTGGAGAGTCACGTAGCTTTCGTAGTACTGCGCAGGTGCCCAGCGCACACGCAGTGAACTACGGCATGACCCACTCGTGGCCGGCGCGTGAACACTGGGGACTGACGAATCCGGTTGCCCAGGACCCTGCGTGATCATGACGCCGACCTATCATCGGCGGAGGCGGGGCCAGTCAGCACATAAGAGCAGGCAGCCTGCCTGGGTCCGGGCCCTTTCCTCTTCCTCATCTTTGTGTGCACAATAAAGACTACGGCAGAAGACTTCACTCGCGTCTGCCTCTTATTGCTGGACAATAGGAGTCGTGCGCGCAACAGTAGTTAGCTTCTTGAGCCTTATTTTGCATAAGAATCCGGTGAGAAGCTTCCCTCTAAGCAAGGTCTAGGGCTCATCTCGAAGTTCAGTTTCCACAGCTTCACAAGTGAGTGTGAACTGGGTGGTCTGGAACCACCTTCAGAGAAACACACTTGTCCAAGAGTCTTTTCACCCACACACCCGTTTCTCCCTCATAACGTCTCAAAGTGAAGCTGTCACTCTTCTCAGACATGACACGCCAGCAATTTTCTATTCCCCTTGGTTGTGAATGCCCATCCTTCAAAATTCAGACTTAAACCTGTTCCTCCCTCAAACCCACTAGGACAAAGTCTATCACTCCTCCTGTCCTCTGCCTATGTCCTGCATTTTTGGAGCTGCAAGCAAAGTTGGACGTTTCAATGAATGGTTGAGACCAATGTTGGGGCACAGCAAGTTAAACCGCTGCTTGCAATGCTGACGCCCCACATTAGGATTCCTCATTCAAGTTCCAGCTACTCTGTGCTTTCTGCATATTGTCTTCCCACCCCAAGGAGATGAGATAGGTTTCCTGTTTCCTGGCTTCCAGCCTAATCTGGTCCTGGCTATTGCCAGCCTTTGGGGAGTGAGCCAATAAATGGATGAAAAAGTCTATGTCTGTTCCGCTGTGTCTGGCACATAAATAACTAATTTTTACAGGGTAGGAATGTGGCTCGTTGACCCACTAAGTTGCACCGCAGATTACATGCCTTTCATATTCAGTGGGAATAGACTATTTAACATGAAATATGAGGGACATTCTAGCTTTTGCATCAGAAAGGCCAAGTTGGGAACAAGACAGTTGCTTAAGGGCACAATCCGCAAAGGAGATTCAGGGGCCAGATGCTTGTTTTTCCTAAACAAGGATCAGTTTCCTCCAGTATGCCATCCGCCTCGACTCCAGCCCACCTACCTGGACATTTGTTTATTTTAATTAGGATTAAATACAGGTTGTTTT